ATTATTACATATTCTCTCAGTGTGAGAAAAGTCTCTTCACATACAGTATTTCAGATAATTAACTAAAACTTCTTCTTTCACAGATTAGTATCTATTTCTCTTAAGAGATCTGAGAGTAATGCAGTTATTCATATGAAATTCTTGATAAATCTATGATAATATAAGACTAAATTAAGAAACTATTATACATAATATACATTTCTCAGTCACAGTTAATTTACTATAATATTCAATTTCTCTGAAATGAAGTGTATACAGTCATCACTTACTACATATTCTATAAACTTCAACTCTTTCATTTCAAACACACACTTTATTGATTTGATATAGAGCTTATACTCTATCAGAGTTATAAGCACTTCATTGAGATACTTCAGATATTCATTATATAAGTTTGAAAAGACTAGAATATCATTGAGATATATAAGATATAAGATTTCATTCTGTTTATAAAGAATTGTATTCATTATTATTTGAAAGATAACAGACACATTTGTCAGATTGAATAGTATTATCAGAAATTTAAACTTCTCTTATTATATATTAAATATAGTTCACAGAACTGACAGTTTATCTACACAGATCTGTCAGTATTCTAAGAGAAGATCAATTTTTAATAGATATCAGATATTTTTAACTGTATTTAACTGTTATTGAATTTATAACAGTGAATATTCATTCTTGATTATAAGCTTATTAAGTACTTGATAATTAATATATATTCATCACTCTTCATCTGTCTTTTTTATAAATAGAACTGAAATGCTCTACACATTTGATAAGAGTTGTATAAGATTATGTTCTAGAAGGTCTGTGATCTGATACTTCTGTTCTTTAAGATATATTTATAGCAGAGAATATGCATTTTGATTAACTGATTTCATATTCTCTGTATTAATCTTATGTATGAATTCTCATTCTGATGATAATTCTGATAAAAGATCTGTTTAAAAGATCTTTTCATACTTCTTCAGAAGCTTCTTCATATATTTATTCTCTTATATATTCTTTATCTTAGTTTTCTTCACTTTCAGATCTCATATGATATACAGAATGCTTTTGAATAAGATCTTATAAATTATTCTCTTTACTTATTAATATATAAGCAGATTTAATTCTTCTATATTAGAAGTATGAAATGTTCTTCTTATATTGATTAATAGAATTCTATAAATCATTTTCTTCTTATCAGTTAATTAAATATAATATATATATCATTGAATCTGTGAATTGAACTTTTGAAATTAATTAAGTCTGAGAATAAGATTATATTTTATATTCTGCAGCTCTCACACTTAAATATAGTAAGATTATTCTTTAAAGTGCAAGAGAACTCTTACTCTTATAGATAATATCAAATATTAATTATTAAGTAATCTTATATATCAGAGATTCTTCACTCAGTGAATCTCTTTCAGTCTTCAGATTATATAATTATTAATATATTATATAAAAGCTTCTATATCTGTTAACACTTTTATAGTTATCTCTTAATTCTTATTCAAGTGCTCTTTATATATTAATATTTTAGATTTTAAGATATTGAGATGAGTATCTGCTTTATTCTCATCTGTATCTCATTTAAAAGCCTGCTTTCTCTTGATATTTATAGAATTCAGAGAATCATTTAACATGAATATTTCTTTCACTTTGAAGACTTTTTATAGAATATCAGTGAGTGTCTCTGAGCTTACTAATTCTGCTAGTTTTTTAATTTCTTTATTTTTCTTAACTATGTATACTGTGTGTAATTCTTTGTATTATGATTCTGATATCTGTAGTTAAAGCAAGCTTGATACTTATAATATTAAGGTTTTCACTCAGAAGATTTCTTTTTCAGAGAATTCAGTGCTTTAATAATAATATTCAAATCTAGATTTATTATATCTAAGTGTGTGACTTATATTATAGAAGTCTGATTATCTATTCTTTATTAAAGTATACTCAATTATAGTATTTTCTATTATAATTGACTCACTTGTTTCTATATAATAAGAATATTATATACTTCTTTCATTATATCTGATTATAAGATTAAGTATTTTCATTTCACTCTTAACTCAGATATAAGATTATGAATGAAAATCTGTAAATAGAAAGATATTAAAAGCTCTTCATTTAATATAAGATAGTATAAGCTGAAGTGTGTAAAATATAATATAAGATCACTTACTTATCTATACTTAGTGAAGTATTTATAATACTTATCTTATATATTCACTTTCTTAAAGTTATATAAAATTCATTTGAAAAACTCATTTTATATTCATAGAAATAAATATCATTCTGAGTTTATAAGATTTATCTTTTTATCAGCTATTTATAATAATCTTACTTTTTCATATAAAAATATAATAAATCTTAAGACTTATTAAAATTTTATTAACTATCTGTCTGTAAGTTTATATTTAATTCAATAATATAATTATATCTCTTTTAGTCAGCTGATTGCAGTATTATTATTTTAATTGTTATTAAAGCTTAATAACTTTAACAGATCTTCTAACTTAATATATCTCATATTTAAATTTTCATTCTACACAGTAGTCTCTGATAATATATACACTTTTAAAGAGATTATGAATAATTGTGATGAAATCTTCAGATTCAGTATAGTTATTTATCTGTGTAAATATTCAATCTCTTACTATAAATCTAATACCTGGTTTTCTCTATTCTTATTAATAATAATAATTGTATTGATAAATCTCTTTATTATAAATACTTAATTCATAGTAAATATTAATTGTTATTTGACTTTTATCTCAGTCTATCACTGTGTACATAAGATCTTGATTTTATTTAGAATTCTTGTATATATACAGAGCTTTGATTTCAGTTTAACAGTCTCAGCTACTTTTCTTACTGCTTTAAGTAAACTCTCTGAGAGATTCTGTATATCTTTCAGTTCAGATAGCAGAGAAGAGTATTATTTATATTAACTAGAAAAGATATTTATTTCAGTGATTTCTCATTAATTGTATAATGTCTATCTTAATATTACTATATTATTATACCACTATATTATTATATAATTTCTGTTATTATTATATAACTTCAGTGATAATCACTCTCTCTTTTATTCTTCTGAGTAGAGAGCAGTCTTTTTTAAATCTGATTTATTACTTATATTCTCTTTCTCACATTTCATTCATTTGTATATGATATATGACATTTCTCTGAGTATGAAGTTTTTTCTTAACAAGTGAAGCAGTATTAATCAGATGCTCTTTCACTCACTACTTTTTATACACTATCTTTTAAGATATTCTAGAATTACACTGATATGATAACTATAAATTACTTTATAGATGAAATTATCATGCTCTGAAGAAGTCTGCACTTCTCACCAGTTTTTAGACATACTATCAGATGTGATTCAAAGGTTGCTTGAGCCAGTGTATAATTACAGGTGTACGCTGGCTTCTTATATACTGTACACTAAATTACTTAGTGGCTGCTATGGCACCTTTACATTCATAAGCAAGTTCAGAAGCAGCCGCGTTATTATCCGACAGTCGTATGTTCTTCCGAATCACAACACAAACAAAAAGCAAGTCATGCTACAATACACTATCAATATATACACTGAATCTGCATTAGTTTATAAATGTCTGAGTTATTTTTCACATCTTGAAGTGTTGAATCAGGGATTGATAGTATGAAGTAAATCATAATTTCTCACATTCTAATCTGTCTTTCTGTTTCCCTTTTGCATTTGATAAAGGATAACTAATGTGTATTCTTTTTAACTTTGGAAATTATTTCTTTGCTTCATCTTCACAGCAATACCTGCAGATCAGCATTTGCTCTACTTTGAATATAATTATTTTGAATTAATGAATATGACAGCACTGAATCAAGCTAAGACAATGTTTTCTATTCAACAATTTTAATTTTGCTTGCACTGCCCTTCACTACTACAGTGTGAATTACTCTCTATTGCCCTCCATAGCCTGCTATCGTGAGTAGAAGGAGGGGGGTTTTCGATGCAACTGTGGCAGAACTTGGACCACTGCCACCTCTTCCGAACCAGTCTCCGGTTCCTCGATCATTTCGAGTTAATGGGATTTAAAAAGTCACTAGCTTTCATAGATTATTGGACTGTCCAAAATCATGACGGACAATCAAAATTTGCACCGGACAAAGAAGATGATTCCTCTGATTCATTGTTTTATCCAACAGTGTTGTCATTAGATACAGAGAGAGCAAATTCATTTCATGCCACCTCGGAGAGACAAGAGAAAACAAAAACATAATGAAATTTCCGACAAATCTGATCCTACCATTTGAAGGTTAATGGCAGAATTGCGACAGCGACCTATATCCATCTTCACCAACATTCTCCGATCGCAGCCATTGACGTCTCCAGTGCACGCGGTCGAGAGTAAACGTTCTTGCTTCCGTGCCCCAAGAACCTTAACATATGCATTCATCGCCTTGATTTCTACCGGCTGCCAGTGCCTGTTTCGTGGCGCCTACCTCTACCTTCTCGATTGCAGGCACGAGTCGCTGATACTGGATTACCATCCAGAGCTATCTTCCAGACCTAACATTCGTTTTTTTATTCATTATACCTGAAGCTGCCAAGCCGTGTAAGGCATCGTATGTAGATGTAGCCAAAAGAACGGACGCGAATAGGCTAGCTATGTTAGTGGTGGCGAGGCCACACTGCTCCAGGACATGAACGTGGAGAGCTACTTGGTGAAGCAGCCATAACTTAATTCATCCGCCAATGGCGCTATTGTGGCGGCTACATAGATGGAGGGTGAGTTTCTCTCAGAGCCTAGACGCCGCACTAGGCAAGGGATCATCATTGGTAATACTATCTAGACTCGCGCAATGCTGTTACTTTGGTCGTTATCCAGGACAAGTCGAGAACAGCTACAATAAACCTCAACATTGTACACAGCCCAAGAAAATTTCCACCATCCGACGCCAGCAGATATTGACGCGCATACTATGATTTCTCAAATATTCCAACTCCCAGGGCCATTATTCTACGCAGCCAGCATGCCCAGGTACCAAAGTGCGAGCATGACCGTTAGCTGCTCGTTTCCGGGGTTTCCCCGTGCGTTCCACGGAATCGGTTGAGCAAGATCAAGATTGCCGACATCGTCTCGGCGCCTTACGGGGACTAACTCCAGGTCTGTAATGATATAGCCATACCGGGCATGATGTTGCTTCATATAAAAATTGAGCTGCGAGAGAACCTGGCGACATTCTCGACAACCTGCTGGCAGGAGGCTGTTTCGCAAATTGCTAGTCCATTTCCATGATGACTTTACCTCGCCAGGTGCGCGATTCCAACTCGTTGTAGCCGGGATCATCTCGTCAAAGAATGCTGCATCGGGCTTGTAGTTGTCCATGATCCTGGCACCTTCACCTTCATCGTAGGATACTCTCATAAGCCCTTGAAGGCCTTGATGTTGGTTTCTGATCTGATCAAACATTGCCCGTAGAGCATGTCTGATTCAGTTTTTGAATTGTGTCAGAATAAGAGCTCTGAGTTGATTCTCCGAACTGACAATCAGACCCAGCGAAGTAATTGACTCACTCGGAAGAGAGGTATTATCGAGCAGCTGGTGATAGCGATTCATAATATGCTGCAGAGTAAACTCTGGCCAGGCATTTAGAGAGTGAATATCTTCCCAGCTGTAGGCAGTATTTGTCGTATTTGGACCAGGATTGGGCGGGGCGTTGATGCGCACGTGTGGAGGGCCGTTCTGCAAGAAAGCAGCAAGAGTAACTGCGTTGGCCATCCAGAAAACGACAGTCAACCGAAGGCATTTCTCGAAGCCCTAAATGAGAATTGCATGTGCTAATGCATTGATGGAGCGTCAAGCTGCAGTTTGCCCTCCGTTGACGAAGACAGTGGGTGTACTTATATACGAGAAAGGCATGACAAGGATCCATTGTCCGCTGCGAAAGGCGAAATACGTTTGTGAGGTAATAGTGGATGCCGTGAGTGTCATCGCCAGTATCCCTCCAGGATCTATTCCTTGAGGTTTGTTCGCTGTCATTCTTGAAAACAGGTGAATCATGTCTCTAGATTCAAGTATAGCCAATGGCGGTGATAGGAGCCCATTCCCCGGTCAGGCAACTGAAGCCACAGCAGGCAACAAAGCATGGATGGAGCGGCGCAGGTGCGAATGTGTCGAATGGGTGTCACGGATGGATATGTTGAAGACATATGAATCTTATGTGTATCAAGATCTGCTTGTTATATTATCTGTACACTATCTAATATATCTGATTCATACAAAAGATAGAGCTATTTATAGTAAAATATATGTGTGAGTCAAGAGAGCTAGTATAAGCAAGTATTAGACAAGTATTGTAGTAAGCTGATGATGATGAGAAATATTGTAGTAATACAATATTGATGATATTTAGTAGTGTATAATCTCTTTTTTCTGATACACTCTCTTCAGTGAATGTAACATGTAAAAGAAAGTGTAATTGAAGCTGTAATAAAAAGAGTGTAGATGAATCTATAGTAAAAAGAGTGTAGATAAATCTGTAGAGATTATATCAAGATAGATTATTTATTCTGCTTATATCTTAATAATATCTGATATATCAACTAGGCCTAGTATCTTGACAAATTCTGTATGTTTCTGGCATGACAGAGTCTTAGTGAGGTCATTCACTGACATCTGAGCTATAGACACTTAATCAAAACTGTAATATCACTGAATTAAACACATTCTTGAAGTCAGCTTTTATATATATCAACATGACAGAGCTTCATGATTATAGAGAGATCTTTCTTCATAAAAATATTAACAGTTTGATAATTATCATATTAAATACAGATCTTATAACCAGATTTAAATTAAATATATTAAAAGAATCTATTTCATCAGATAGACTTCTTATTAGCTTGTATAATAGTAATAAGCTCAGTTTCAGTAATAGAGATAGTTATAATTATCTATCTATTTAATTTTCAATTAATGATCTCACTGAATAGTTTAAAGATATATTCTTGTATAAAGCAGTGATTCAGATTATCTGTAAAAGAGATATCACTGACAGCTTTGATAATATCAGGTTTAACTATTTAAGATCAAGTTATAAAAATCTGTCAATATTATTATTATATTGAATAATGAGATTCTTTATATTATATAGATAAGATATTATTCTATTCATCTCTGATGAGTGATATTCTAATGAATTTATCATGAATATAGCTAGTTTATTCACTGTATATATAATATCAGAGTGAGTTATTACTGCTGAGTAGATACAGAAGCTGATATATTAATAATAATAATGAATTTTTATGAATATAACTGTCTTATTAAAAGGCTCTAACGGATATCAATTAGTGAGATATAAGTAGACTGACCGTGTGACCGTGTCTGAAACCAGGATCAAACTTTACAGTTGTCACATTGTCTAAAAGCATTACTTCTGATCATGATTTGTGTTCATTACATTGATTTTAAATCATGTTATTTTAAATATTAAAGGTTTCAGATTCACTTTTCAAAATAAAAATCTAGTCTCAGATAAAAGAATATGTTTGGAAATTCTTTAGGTCACATTTTTCATTCTGATCTTATTTATTGAAAAATGACCACTTAAATGGAGATTTATGAAAACCATTTTCTCACTTAACATAAAAATTATAAAAAAGTACTTCATTTTATTGAAAAATTTAATAGAGGGGGGTAATTAAATATTATTAACTTAATTGATATCATTTTAATTAAAAAAAAATATAAAATATAAAAAATTTATAAAATATAAAAAATAACCAATAAGAAAAAATCACAACAAAAAAAAAAAAAAAGAGAAAGAAAAAAAGAAGAGAAAGAAAAAAAGAGAAAGAAAGAGAAAGAAAAAAAAAGAAAAGAAAAGAAAAAGAAAAAAATAAAAAATAAAAATAAAAAAAAATCAAGATCATAGAGCTGCAGTATTCTTAAAATACTCACTTCTCAGAGTCTTTACAATATTTATTATTAATTATATATCTCTCACAGTGAGAATAACACAGCTGTAATGAGTTATTATCTTAATATCATTTAATAAATAATCAGTATATATCTATATAAATGTGAATAATTAGAAAATATATATTTAAATAGTATGATCAGAATAAACTCTGCTGTCACTTGAATAATATTAAGAACAGAATGCTGAAATCAATGATTTCTCTCATTGATTTCACAGATAAGATGTATGAAGATAATCTTGAGAAATATAAGATTCTCTGACTTCTGATAGAAACAGATCTTATGAAGAGACTCTATTTTCATCATATCAGAGACTGAGTATTATTAAAAAGCATTACTTCAATACATATACACTTACTGCAGTGATTCACTCTCTGCACATGTGATTGAGAGTTGCAGCTTTCTCATATCACACAGCTCTCTCTGAGATGCTGCTGCTGGTTTGCAACTCACACAGTCTCTCAGTTCAGCACACACTGTATATATACAGCTCTGCATACTGAGACTGTGTTGGTCATTATGACCTGATGTGATACTCACTTTTCATAGACCATGTTTCATTTGATTGAGAGAGGGAGAGGACACAACTGCTGTGTTATTTGAGAGAGAAGTGAGTAATTGAATCTGTAGAAGATAATTTAATTTCTTCTGTATTTGAAATTTGATTAGTCTATACTCTTCAATTTGAGAGTTTCTGAGAGTGTTTTAATAGTTTTCATACTAGCTTGAAATTAGTGATTGATTGAAGAAGAGAAAAGAGAGAAGAAAGAAATGAGAATAACTTATCTTTATAATATAAAAATAGAGAATTGCTGTAATTATTTACTCTAGTAATAAAGATCTGTTTTCTGTATATATCTCTGATACAGATTATATAATAACTGTATACAAAGAATATCAACAGTGTATGTATTAAATGAAGATAATATTACTATACAACACTGTAGCTGTTTCTGTACATCACTGAAAGCTGTTAATATTTTCTTTAAGTCTCTTTATATTTGATAAGTCAGTAATATATTTCAATACACTCTCTCTTTCATCATCATCATTATCATCATTATTATTATTATTATTATCACTATCATTATTATTATTATCATTATTATTATTATTATCATTATTATTATTATATTATTTCTGACTGTCTCTTCTGCCTTCATGTCTCTTTAACACTCACTGAAATCAATTATATTATCTGA